TCGGAGACTGTCTGGAAAGTGGTGTATTTGTGGATCTTTGCGGCTTGTGTCAAGGGTTAATTCGCCCTCAGGGCGTTTCTCTCCTGGAGTTTCAACTGGTTCACCAGGGTATAGTGAACGATGCAAACTCACAAGGCCCACAACTGGCTTCAAACATGGTGTCAACTTTTCTGTGAACCACTTGACCCCAATTGCAGTCGAAACACATGGCCTGAACCTGCCTAAAACCATCAGATTCACCTTATTATCCTTATTCTGGTCTCCGTCTTCCCTCAGACCCTTCCAAAAGAACACACCAAACCCCCCCTCCTAGGTGGTGATTCCTCCCGCTCCTCCTCCCAGCCCCATGCCCCGCCATGCCGGCCGCGATGCCTCGGTCACAGGCGTATGCTCAAGATCCGATGGTTGCCCGAGTCGGCGATCAGCAAGCGCCGCTGCACGCGGTCCAGGGCCAAGGCCGTGGGGCGATTCCTCGGGTTCGAAGGGTAGGGGAGCTAACAGAGAGGTCAAGTGACCCCTAAAGAGGAGCCTATACCAGGACCCACTGGAGTTGGGTGGTTCATGGACACCCCTTAACCTGTAAGGAGCTGTCAATAGAAACTCCTTAGGGTGTCCTGGTACTGAGGTACCTACATGGGATTGCCAATTATATAGTGCTCCACAGATCGCTCATGGTGCCATGTGACATCGATTTGACGCACATCTAGCCAAAACGTCAACGTTTTTCACCAACCTCTGACCACTTCAAACCGGAGCGTGCGCCGCCACGTGCCGTCCGAGCGTCAGCTGATCCAGCTGATGTCCTCGGCCGCGACCGAAGAGCAGTTCACCGCTGGAGGCGCCGCGGCGCCAGCGCAGGAGGCCTCGGCGGCGACGGAGCGACCCCGCAAGAACCGCCGCAGTCGGTGGTGGTTGATGGAGACCCTAAAACAGTCAGGGAGGTCCTGGTATGACTGGTGGTTCTATGCGCATGGTAATTATGGCCCACTATATAGACACTAGACTCTGCTCGCGTTTGGGGCACTGTCACCTGGTTTTGCTGAGGTCTTGGAGACGTCTTTTATCTCTTGGGGATGAAGCATCAAACGCGGCCCAGCAGAGTCCATCTTCGCGGTCCAGCAGCGATGGTTGAAGGTGTCGGCAATCAGCAAGGCACCCGTCTCCTCGGCGAGAGCCATCCGAACGTCTCGTCGGACTCGGGACATCGAGTCGGACTCGACGTGACCGGGTTCTCCCGGGAGGAGTCTCTGGGCTCTACAGGTTGGAGGACTTCTGGTTCACGGCCAGGTCTGCTCTGTTCCAGCGGTGATTGAGATGGGTGCGCTGCGGGGCCTGGAATCCACCCCATGGCAGCCGCCGTTGATGGGACCTGGACTATTCGACCACTGGGTCGGGCCATCCCAAAGCCTTGCCTCACCATGTGACCGTGACCTTTGGGGGACCTCCGTAACGACCAACCGATGGATCCAAAATGGTTGAGGAAAAGACAGCTTTGGCATGCTTTGGCTCTTGGAATGTTTGGGAGAATCAGCTCCAAAACATGTTCCTATAAGAGCTGCATATGAAGTCATGCAGCTCCCACCAGGCTTTGATATACGTGCTCCCCGGAGCAGCATCGCCTCACTGCTATCCAGGGAACTGGCTCCAGGATCGCTGCCCTGGGGTAGTTGAGCTGATTCAAGGCCTTGCCCTGCTCTCCGCCGCAAATCACCTCCACACAACCGAGACCCCCCACGTGGAGCGAACGCGCTTAGCGCGAGCTCGCTTTGCGCGTGGTGCGGAGCTTTGGGGCAATGCTACTCCAATACCTCAGGGATCCTCAGGGCTTCCACCGAAGGCAGTGTCTGTGAATCTCCCCTGAGGTGATTCGAGGTGCTATAACCGTGAGTTTTCAAGGACTACTGCCCCATCCTGCGGTTGGCCGCTTGGTTCCTCCCTCACTCACCTGCAACTTCCCGGCGGAGTCCCTCCCTCGCACCTCGCCCTGCTGGGCGTCCTTGGGCCAGCGCACCACGCGGTGGTTGCCGCTGTCGCAGACCAACAGACTGGTGCCGTCCCAGTCCAACGCCACAGCAAAGGGTCGATGCAGCCTGTGGAGTCCACGCTGGGTCCGACAGCTGCTGACAGCAGGATGAGGTCAGCAACAAACATGTCGCAAGAGGTTGCATTGGTTGGGCCTCTTTGAAGTCATTTGAAGTCCAAGACCAAAACAGTATGTTCTTTGGGTGGATGATTTCTCCAGCAACAGCCTTGGATACGGAAAAAGATTCTCTCAAGATGCGCCGAGAACCCGTCCATCGCAAGATACCAAGAAAGATTGAGAAAAAGCTCAAAGAATGGCTGGCACTAGGAAAAATGATGAGGTTCGGTTAGTTTCTTTCCTTGGCTTTCCACTTGCCACAGTCGGGTGAGGGCTTTGTCTTCCCCGCGCCTCGCCAAGCTGGGGCCATGCGTCGCTGGCAAAGCATCCTTCGCGGCGCCCGCCACCACCTTCCGGGCAGCGCCGCCACGCCAGGTGCAGCGCAGGACGCAGTGGTCCTGGGGAAACGTCGTCAGCGATGGAAGTTCACTTCCTGTGAAACGTCTAGTGCAAGGCATGAGGCCTTTGGATGGTTCGAAGTAAAACTTCTGTCATGCAGCTCAGCCATGCACAAAGCAACGAAAATATCAAGGAACCCCAACCTTTATATAAACCTCTCACCCTGAACACGCCGAGCTGTGACACGAAAAAGGTTTCCTCATCTATTATGCTCAAAGGTGAGGCAAAAAGGAACCCACACCGGTGGTTTTTGCGCGTCCGTCAGACTTGCCTATCCCACATGTACCTCCTGTAGAGTCTCGGTCTTTTTGAGTCCTTTTGAGAGTATCCCGAAGGCGCACGCAAAAAAAACGCTACGCTCAGCGCATCGACGGTTGACATCGTGGCGGTTGACATCTGAGACCGTCGGGTTCGGACGTGGACGTGGACGTGCCCAGCGGCATAGGCGTCCGCGAAGAGCAAGCTCCCACGATCCACCAGCAAACCGGAGGGTAAGCAGCCTTCGGCCACCAACTCTAAGCCTTGTGGCTGTGAAAAAGCCCAAACGCCCACGGCCATGCGCTGCGCAGCCAGAGCTCTTGGAGGTGTTTTTCGATGAATTGGTTTAAATGTGACCATATGTGAATTCTGGGAGGATGACTGGGAGGGCACAGGTTTCCATTGAATAGGTGGCCGGCTTTCCAATCTTGATGCCACGGGGCGGCTGATGGCGTTTGAAGGGTCCTACAATATCCTGCGGCAGGTGAAGGTGGCGGAGCTTGGCCAAGCGCTGTTGTGCAAAAGGATTGCCACACTACTACCACCCTGCACCACAAGGAGATCAAAACAGCAAAATCCAAAAGATTCCAAAAGCACCAGAACCTGTTGGATATCGTTGGATCCTGTTCCTCCCGACATCGATCCTCCAAATGTCCCGGAAAGTTGCCCTTTTGTTGCCCCCACCCCTCTGGACGTGCTTCCGGGTGCCGGTGGGATGATCTTGGCCCAGCACGGGCCGGTGTAATCACAACACAAAATAACTCAAAACACAGTCATAAAGCAGGCATGTGACATGTGTCCTTCTCCTTCTCTTCTTTGATTTCCCCCCCCCAACTCAGTTGAAGCCTCCCCATTCGACCGGCTTTCACTCGACCCGCACCGGTTGCCCGTTCTTCTCGTTGGCCTCTCGCAGTTCACCAGGGAGCCGTGGGTCTCGAAGTTCACCAAGTGAACACCGGTGCCGGCGGAGACCAACAAGCTGCCTAGCACAGTACATCCCAGAATCCCAGTTACCACTATATAAGGAACCAGGGATTCTAGGTCTATAGTGGTAACTGGATGCCCTGGGTAGTGATGGAAGGTGCCAGGGCGATGGAAGGCGCTCATGGGGCCCATGGCGGAACAGCACGAAACGCGTGCTCCATGGGGATCCATGGGGGCGTCCAAGATCATAACAGAACCCATATATAAGAACATGTTGGGGATCAACATGGATCAACTTTTCGGCCTTGATGGCCAATCTCACGAATATTATGAATATTAGTGAGTTGATTAAAAGAAACCCGTGTGCATGCCACGGCCCCTCACATCTCCACCTGATGTTCACAAATCCAGATAAATCCACCGACCAGGAGGCTTCAACCAAGAGCCTCCTGACCACCTCACCACTTCTTACACATGCGGGTGCCAACACCAGGAACCGCACGCGGGTCGTGGGCGGCTTCCGCCGCCCACCTTGCCCAGCTTCGGAGAAGACCACGTCCACCGGATTGGGCCAACTGCCATCCGTCAGCATCTCCGGCTCCGGTGCCGCGCCGCCACGCGGGTCGGGTGGGCGCAGGACGACTACGCGGCGGTTGCCGCAGTCGGCGACGAAGATGCGGCCGTCCTGGGGCTAAGGGATACTCCTGCATGGCAACTACATCAGCATCAAACATCCCAGTTAAACCTATACATGACAACAGAGTGACATGTCTTCTTGACTCACACCGCCCTAATAGCACATCAGCCCATCATAGCCCATCTGATTTCTCAGTCCTTTATCTTCAGATCACCTCCCAAACCTCCAAACTTCGTAGCCTTCCTAACAAAAATCACCCCAGCAAAGAAGTGGTCTTTTAGAAATCCGAAGCTCTTCCGCAAGGAACACTACACTATATACACACCCTTTCATACTTCATTCTGGTGTGATGTTGTGTGCATCGTGCGCACTGCAATGCCTGGGCCAGTGCCAGTCCCACGGGTTGACACAGCTGCTCCGGCCGCGCGCCGCGGCCTTGGCCGCCGCCCAGCACCTGGGCCTGCTGCGAACGGCGCATCATGCTGGCGCGCTCCAGGAGGTCTTGGACCTGCGTATGCTGAGAATACAAGCTGACGGTGTTGCACAATGTAAAGTTAATGCAAAAAAGGGACTCCGGAACTACCCCTAATACCTAAGCCACCCCGGCCACCCAAATCACCTCTTCCACTCTCCTCCACTCGCCTTCGAGAGCAGCACGGAGCGCGGCACCGCGGCCACGCCGCCGCGCGGGCGCAGGAAACCCTGCCGGTCGCTGGTGAGGGCCTCGCGCAGTCGCAGATCGTCCTCCTGGGCGCTGGGTGATAAGGTCTCCAGCACCGAGGTCAAGGCTTTCCGCTTCCTGGGCGAAGTGGTGGAGACCGGACGGTTTTGTGGAGCCTTGGGGGGAGGAGGTTGGGAGCTTGCGCCAGCTTGTGACGTTTGGAGGGGCGTCGTGTCTAAGTGTTGTGGAGTTTTGTGAAGCTTGGCAGTGCGGCAGTGCTGGAAAAAAAGAACTGTGGGAACTCTGCTGGTGTGGAGAGGTTTTTGTTGCTGGAGGTTCATGCAAAGGCAGATCTGTGCCTGTTTGCTGACTTTGTTTCTCAATTCGCACTGCTGAAATCCATCGCTGTTTCTGAGTGTGGCGGGATGTGTGGCGGAGCTGGTGAGGGGATGGTCGTACGGGATGGTCGCACATTCCTCGAATGGCCAAGATTGGTTGAGGGAGTTGTGGTGAGCTGTGTATATTTCTATGACCCCAATTGAATCAACATGACCATCTCGGAGCTCCCTAGTTGAAGTGATCAATCCCATATCAATCCCCCTCCAGCTTCTTCATGCTATATATTCTGTTCATCGAATTTTCCACCTCTCCTGTGGTGATTAGGCCTGGCTCGGTCGGTGCATCGACGCCGGTGCCACAACCTCGGTGCCATGGACTTCTCGGCCAAGTTTCCCAGACGTTGAGGAGGGACGCTTTGGGAGCGCGCCGAAGGAGCGCGAACCGCCACGCGTGCCTCGCTCGCAATGGAGCGGATCTCGGGGTGGAGACTGACAACAACATGTTCGGAGGGTTATACTATGTATACTCTGACTCTGACTCTGGGCCTGACTCCCAATATCCACAAAAATGACTCCACAAACCTTTTGTTCACCTTGGCCACTATACCTGGCCTGTAACACGAAGCGGCCAAACGCCGAGCGCCAACATAATGGAGGTGATCTTGAGGGAATGAGGGTCTTGATAAGTGTTGACCCCGAAAACCAAGCTAGTAATTTAATTATCTGCTAATGATGGATCACTAAGCCGTAGAAAAGGTCTTTATAGCATATAATAGTCAGCGGCTCAAGACCATCCCCCTTCACCCCGATGCTTCTTGAACCTTCCTGATCCTCACGATTGACCCATCGATTTCTACTATAGTTAGGAGGATGTAGGATGATTATAGTAGGCATTCCTCCATTGCCGTGGATTCTTCTCCTTTCTATCCAGCACCGGACCCCTCCACCCTCCGACCCCCCCGAACCGGACCCCCTCCACCTCTCCGACCCCCCGAAAGGGTCACGCACCGGTGACGGACGTGCCGGGGCCTCCCATGAAGACGTCGAGGTCCGGGGTTCGGTCCAAGTGGTTCAGCAACCTGCACGGCTGAGAGCGGCTGGGTTGGTACCGGAGCACGGCTGAGCACGGCTCTGGGGGTCGGAGAGGTGATGTGTGAGTGGCCACTGAGTGGCCTTATGCTATCAGTCTTCGCTAGAGTTGAGGTTCGGTGCTGGTTGGTCCCAAGATGTCCCAGGTCCCATGACCCATCGTCAAGATGTTCACTGCCGTCCACTACTATCCAGAACATCTACACCACCTCCAAGGGGGTTGTCCAATGTCGTCCACTACCTCAAACGATGCTTCTCCCCTATGGATCTCACTAAGGAAAACTCCTAAGAAGTGGGAAGGGCCCTGTTCAGAACATCATCTTGGGGGCGCTGATGTCATACCAGGGATCCACATACCTCGAAACCTACATTAAAGAGCAAGAAAATCACATTATCAGAGGGTATGTGGATCCATACGGCTCTATCAAATCTAATTCGAAATGGAAATAAATGGACATGCTAAAATTAATGAATTCCAGCAAATAAATACCTCTGGCTGAAGGTCATCTCTCTGCCACTTCCACCCCTACCTATCCCCACTCCACTCACTTCCGCTCCCCGCCTCATCAAGGCTCCACTCTTGCGTCCGCCGGCCTTCCCTCTCGCCGGGGATCCCAGGATGGCCGCCAGCGCGGCGTCATCCTGCGACTCCTGGACCCGTTGCTGCGGCGTCACCTGGCGCGGTCGGTGCTCGTCCGCGGACCGTGCATCGGCGGGTGCTTGTCTCGGTCAGAGAGGTGGTAGTTCCAAAAGGGACGAGGCTTGGGTGCAATTGGGAAGGTCTTTCAAGGGGTTGGAGCCGGTGGAGCCATTTCAGGGCTCTCAAGAGCGGAAAGTAGCAGAACAATGGGAGTTGAGCCCATGGCTGGGCTGAATTACTGCAGCATCCAGGGTAAGGGAACAATTAACATGATGAACAATATCAACCACTTGCAAAGACTGGCATAACCACAAGACCTGCATGGCATGGATCGACACTCAGGGCGAGGCCGGCTGTTCAAGCCGCCTTCATTCATGGCACCATTGAATCCAGTCCCACGCAACAAACCTGGTAGGACTATGTGACTATGTAGTACTACAGTGCTATGCACCATGCACTTTTTTGAATGGCAACCAGCTCTATGGCTGGATCCGATGACGACAGACCAGCAGTTCCAGTGACCTAGCTGTGTGGAACTCGCCCACTTCCTCGGTCCTGGGTTCGGTCTGCACTGTGCCAACTTGGTACCATACCCATACCCAGTGGATCCCAGTTATTTATATAAGGAACCAGGGGTTCAAAGTCTATGGCTTTAGTCTTTGGCATACCATACCCCAGGGCTCCAGTCGTACCTTCTAAGAAGGTGGGACTGGGGTGGGTGCCAGGAGGGTCCAGTCATACCTTCTAAAAAGTACCACTGGAGCCGATACCCATAAGGTTCCAAACCGCCAGGGTTCTGCAAACCCGCTTTTCAACTTGCCATAGAAGGGCCAGGAGAAGTGGCGTCATCACTTCGAGCGCCCTGCAATCCGCACCATGACAAAACGACATCATCCCAACCTCCCTTCGCCAGCACGCGCGCGCAACGCGCGAACGCCCGCACCTTCCCGAAGCTCGGCCGCGGCTCCAACGCGTCGTCGAGGATGGCCTGGTCCGGCGTTGGCACGGCGTGTAGACACGGTGCGCGCCAGGGAGAAGGCGCTTTGTGCCAAGTCAATCGAACACCTTAACTTGCTCCCAACCCCATGCTCAAGACATCAAAGAGAACACGGACATGCTTGGCATGCAACATCATGCAACCCTGGACTGTGTGTGTGTGTGTGTTTGTGATGAGTATCAATCCGACCCATCAACCCCCATCCACGGCCCATCCACCATCTGCCACCCAGATCTAACCTTCAAGAGGAAGTCATCCGTGCTCGTCGACCGTGGCAGTTGCCCCTCCACCGCAGCCAATGTGCTGCGAGTGTGAGGCGTGCGCAAGGCGTCGTCCAGGCGTTGTTGTCGGAGGGACGGCGCCAGGATCCGCGGCGCGTTCCTCGGCACGGTGGAGAAGAAGGCGTGGGCCGTTCGCATCGGTCGCATCGGGCACATGGTCATGCCACAGTGAAACAGGTCCTTAACATTTCTTAACCATGAAAGCTAAATCGTCTAGATCTATACTACTTATCTGGATTCCTGGCATAATGAGAAATGGAATGCCCAAACAACGGTGGCAGGACTATTGGAGGGTTAAGTCTGAACAAAACACTCAGTTTCACATGCTTCACTGGAGATGTGGGACTATATGACATTATATGACTACGAGCCTCCAGCATCCTCCAGCCATCATCCTGATCTCCCCAAAAACCGCCCCTTAGAAAATCTACGTGCGACCGGCCGAGCAAACCAACGCCCACCTATCCGACCAATGGGGAGATGATCTGCGGATGAAGCGTCCATACCTCCGGCCACAAATTCAGCGTGGGCGGCGCCGGCGGCGGCTCTGCCATGCAGCCGGCTAGGACGAGGTCGTCGCGCGTGGGCGCTGGCGAGGGTGGCGCTGGGCGGGTGGGTGGGGCAGGAGCCGTGAGGCAGGCAGCCATGATGGCATCATCCTCGGTGGAAGGTTGTGTCAAAAAAGAGGTTGAAAGATCATGGCTTCATATTCCCACTCGGTTCCCACATGTTGGGGATCTGCGGGCATATATGGTGATGCATGGTGACCGGGCCCAAACAAGCCCCAAAAGTAATTTGACATGACTCCCCCTGCTAGATGCGCAAGTAGTTTTACAACTTATAGCCTAGATATACTAACCTAAATAAGAAGGACCCGGAACAAAACTTGTACAGTAAAAAGCATCTTCCCCAGGGGGTTCACTTCGGAAAATGCCAAACAAGCCACATCAAGCCACCCTCTACTGCAGTGAGACTCGGCAAAACGCCAGGTACACAGCTCATTCCACGTCACCTCACTGTCCAAGTCTCCACCACCCCAGGTGGAGCCGGTGGCGGCGGCGGCCCCAAGCAGCTGGACATCACGTGGTCGTCGTGCAGCGGGGGCGGTGGACGTCCGGGGGCACCAGGATGTCCGGGGGGGCCGGGCGGAGGTCCCAGGCAGCCGGAGATGATGAAGTCGTCCTCTCGACTTGGCACAGGGCCACGGTCCAGTTGGGTGAGGCTGTGGGGTGGAGACCCGCTGGTTTGGAATATGTCAACACCACATGTCTTGATGCTGAGGGATCCCCACTGCTCTGGGGTTGGAGACCCGATGGATGATGTCGATGTCGACAGCACCTGGCTTGTGGACATGAAATGACTTGTGACTTGGGGCTCGAGCTCAGCGGTCCCTGTCTGAACACAAAAATTGTTCGCATATACTCCGTGGCACATATGTTGGAACAAGAGTTGGCAAGGACGGCACCTTATACACTCCCGACACAATCATGGAAGTTCGGCCCCTGGAAGACCATTTTCCTCTAAGATCAAGGGTCCTGGTCAGCTTCTATGGTTGGAGGGAGGGTGTGACCTTCATATACTCCGAAGGGTGTGACCTGGAACCGTCTCTCGTCAGCCGAAATCGGTCGTCGAAACTGGCATGCTGAGTCTGAAGGAAACGTGGACAATCCATGTTTCCCTAGCTGATTCTGAAGCATGAGCTGTGTGTGAAATGGTCAAATGCCACTCCAATATATGGCAGATTCGAAGTATTCAAGATCAAATTATCCCAACATACAGCAGCAGTGCCGCGCAGCAGAATCAAATCGCAGCATGCCGGCCCATGCTGGCCTGGGCCTTTGCTGGTGGACTCGCCAGAAAGGCTTCCAACGCCAAGTCATCTGCAGCAGGCGCCGGTCTCGGTGCCTGTGGCGCCTGGGGCGCCAAGAAGGCATCGATGACCTCATCATCAATCTCCGGCGCCATCATCGGCCAATGACACGCCGAGAGCTGGGCGAGCACAGGCCACGGCGCATAATCTCTGTACACGGTGCGCGCCGCGGAAGGGGGAGCGCCCCTTCTAGGTGATCTTCATGGCTGCGAAGTGATCGAAGACATGACCCAAGAGGTCGTTGGATCCCACCACCATGCTGGTTCAAAGAGATCGCATGGAACATCTGAAGTGCAGAATCCAGTTTTCTTGGATGATCCCACCCCCGAAGAAAGGAAAACAAACTCAACTTAACTAGCTGAGCTGTCCATCTCGCATCACTATAAGGATGACGGTGATGAGTGATGACAATGATTGACTTCATTCGAAAACCCCAGTTCACGCTCACACCCGCGCGCACACGTGTACCACGTATACCCCATGTATATACCCCATGTATGTCTCCCGTGTGCCCCTTCACCGGCGTCCTCCGTCACAGGGATGCCGATTGGAGGACTGGACAAGCCACCAACAAACGTGCCCCGCCCTGTCTCATCTGGAGCCCTATCTCATCTGGAGGATCCAATCTTGAACTCCATGTAAATGGCACATTCACCTTGCACAGCTAAACTAGACTCAGATGTATGCAAGCTTAGCAGCAAGCACCCAAGCACCGTCTGACAATGGCAACATCATCTTTGAACCTAGTTCAGCTAGCGTAAGCGATTCCTCGACAGATTGGAAGGCTTGCAGCTGGCCCGTTCACATGGTCGGACATCACACCGCGCTTTTGATATAGGAAAAAGACATGAAAAAAAGAAAACCTAGCTTGAGTGGTCGGTCCTCCAACAAGGTAACTTCTACCAGGACCCTCCAAGGGGTGCCCAATGGAAGCCTATAGGTAGTGTGGGGTAGTCCCTTGGACACCCCTTGGAGGGTCCAGGTAGGTTCCTAGATAACTACAAGCTCTCAGTTGCCCACTGAAGTCCAGGGTGGCATGGACGCAGTTTTCTCCCCTTGTCACCCTGAGGCGCCAGGCCCACCAAGCTCTTATAGTCATAGCTGCTCTGCCGGAAGAAGCCCCAGCAGCGGCGTTGCAGGGGCGCCACTTGAAAGATGCTCATGACCTGCGAGAATGAAACCATTGAATTCATTGCACTTGTGCACTCCATGACTCCATGTATGGCAAATCTTGCCTACATCCAAGTCCAAGAGAGGTTAAGTGACCGTAAATAGGACCTTATGGGATAGTCTAGTTCGGGTTCTTCAACCTCTGTTGGATTCACCCCTGCAACCATCCCAACTGATCGGTCCGTGTTTTTTTATACGAACCGACTGTCCGACGTCCGACGTCCGAGGGATCAAGAAATCCGGTTCAGAAAGGCGTCGCCCGGCTCAAGGCTCTCATCCAAGTTTGACGCACATCGACCTTCACCCAAGAACACTCGACTGGTTGATGTGTTCAGCCCGCTTGGAAAAATAGTAGTCAGAGGGCCCAATCATCCCCAAGTAAGGGTTGAACATAAAAAGAAATCCGAAACCATCACCTAGTCGATCACCTACCTCACCCAAGCTGCCTAAAGACCTGAAGGCCGCCTTGCTCGACCGTCCCCGGCGCCCATCTGAGGCCCCCGGCGGCCACCGCCAAGAAGTTCCCCAGGATGTAGAGGCTCCAAAGCATGAAGACCCCACGGAGCCCTGCCCCAACGGTGGTGCCGTATGCGCCCAACGGTCGTCCCGGGAATCCTGGATTTCGGATTGGACAGGTAGAGATGTATTGGTGGATGCTCAAGGAGAATGTTTTGGTTGGTTTGTTGATGTTTTGCAGATGGTTTTGCATGTAATCATATGCTGCTGGAGTATTTCCTCCTGGGGAGGTGGAATCAATCAAAAAGAGTCTCTCTTGCAAGGGGATGAGTGAAGCGCCGCGTGAACCTCCGCACCTCGGGAGATCACTTCCGGCAGCGTGGCGAACTCCGTGGCCAGCTGTGCCAGCGGTTGGCCTCCAAGGTGAGGTTCCCAGGAACTGGGGACAAAAGAAAACACTTCAATTGGGAAACACCCATACCAGGACCCTCCTGTCGGGGTGTCCTCACTAAACTACCCCACACTACCTAGTTGGGCTACCTATAGGCTTCCAGACAGGGCACCCCGACTGGAGGGTGCTGGTATATACACCCATAGATGAAAACACAGTTAACTGGTAAACACATTCATATAAAACACTCGGATCGGTTTTTGCAGGACATCGCTGATATCACCAGGAAACCAATAAGGGAAACCCTCCAAAAAAACATCCGAAACCGCAAAAAGCAGGACAAGGTTCAGCGGTGGGGCCCATGGGAATTTGCTGGGGCCTCTCCTTGAAGAAGCAGTTCTGGAAAAGTGGCAGGCTGCTGGTTCGGACGGTGAGTTTTGGACGGGTAGTTTGTTTGTCGTTGCGCGAAGTGTTTCCAAGGCTGGGAGAAAGAGTTTGAAGTTGATGGTCCGAGGCAAGCTGATGGCCCCAAGTCGGGTGAAAGCGAAACATGACACACCCTAAGCCGGTGAGATCGCATGACATGTCGCAAGGTGCAACCAAGAAAGAGCCAAGGGCATGGCATGCCCATGGTCTCATAGAAATGAAACCTATAAGAACACCATTTCCACAATCGTCACAGGCTGCTTCCGCTGCAGGGGGCTCAGCCGTTCCGAGTTTCTGCTAGCAAGGGGTTGCCCCCAAAAAACAAACAAAAACTCCACACAGTACTTGCACTAACACCTCACGCAGCATGCTTCTTCCCATCAGGGCGGTCCTCAGTGTCGTCTGTTTCACGGGCGACACCATCCATCCCCAAAACCGAAAACCATCCGTTGGAGGGTCGGCTCAGTTGGAGCTGTAGAATCCAACGTACTGAGTTCGTACCATGGCTCAGCACGGTTCGGCTCAGTCCATGTTGGTTCAGACTGATCGGTTGAAGACGGAGCGGGTTTGACCATGTTGGCATGGCCAATGAAGGCTCCAAGGCGCCGCAGTTCTCGGCCAAGATCCATTGCCTCAGGTGTCTGGCCCAGTAAGGTCCGGAGCCGCTCCGTGTTCACGTGTGAAACAGAAGTGGGACTGGGACCTGTAATTAGCTGTTATTCTGATGGTATGAGAGTTGATCTGCATGGTCGAACATCTTCTTGCGGAACATATGTGCTGCTAACGGTGTGGTATGGCATAGTCAACTCACCCCAAATGAGTCAACAAAACCCCTCAAAACTGAAGGCAAAGCTGTTTGATTGGGCTCCCTCACGCGGATGTTTCCGCCGGAGCCACAAAAAGACAGACCCGGGTGGACGGAAAGGAAGGCTTCCAAGTCAGTGGAAGCACACCACATGCAATCTCATTCATGGTCTACGAGATGTCTACGAGATGGACCACCTATAGATTCTATAGATGGTCTGGAGTCTGGAGTCGCCCTCCAAGACCTGGTCATGAACTTTTTCGTACCCTCCTGCGGACAATGCTGGACTGTGAGTCCACGATTCTCATCTACCACCCCCAAGTGGTTCACTCCTTGTCCAAGTGGTTGTTAATCTGCGAAGGGATCACTCAAAGACGGAACGACTGTTCCCAGTCGCTTGGAGTTCTGAACTCCTTCTTTGCATGGGGAAGAGCCGGATACAGTAATCCTTTTGGCGACCCGAAACATACTTAGCCAGCGCTCCCTGCCGGCTCGCGCCAGCTAGTTCATGAGTAAGACCGCTACATTCCAACAACCGGCCTCGATATGTATATACAGGATGTATGGTATAGTATAGCCATGTATAGCCTTCCATTTCCTCCAAAAGCTCAAAGTATGTACAACCAGGAAGCAGCATGCAGCATGTGTACAACCAGAAGTGTGTGCATCTGTGCGTCGAATCGCGTGTGTTTTGCTGTTGGTGTTGAGCCCTTGTCCACCTCTTCCCACCACGGCTCAGTCAAGATCCGGCCGGTTGATCTGGTCCCACTGAGATCGCCGCAAATACTTGTAGGGAGCTTCCTGGCGGGGCGAAACCGCCTCACACGTCCTGCCAACGACCTGTGCTGCAGGAGGGCTAATCAAATCCATCATGATGTCAGGGAGGCTATAACTCGAAAAGTTCAGAAGACGAAACCTTACGGACGCACGAATTCATTACACGTTTGGTCACGCTGCAAGCGACTCAACAAGCAGGAAAAAGAGAGCTGCTTCTGCTGTTTTCAACATCTATATAACAAGAAGAGTTACAAAAAATTTTGCAAATCTTGCCAACATTGGCTGGCTCATAGTGCAAGCTCTTTCAGATCGCGAGTTCCTCGACTTCGTCCGGACCAACGCGCCGTCCCGGAAGAAGTACCCAGAAAACAACAACAACAACAACAACAACAACTCTTCTTCTCACGCACTCGAAGGGAGTAGCGCCGCCCATCAGTCAGCATTGTGACTGGACTCCATGCAGGAGTTCGTTTGTGGTTGGAGAGGAGCAATCTGCTTCTATGGCAGCAAATCACCAAATCAAAATAAAATCGTCCAAAGGCAAACATCGTCTCAGACCCAAAATCAATCCAGGGGTCCCGGTTGAGGTCGAGACAAGAAGGTTCAAATCTCAAGCGCACATGAACGACACTCTTTTCGGGTCAGCGGCTCGCTTCCGACACGTCGAACCCGGTGTCCGCAAGGACTTGGTCGATGGTCCGGTCCGCGTCTTGCAGGCGCAGCAGCAATGAATTTAAAGCCAAGTTGTTAGAAGGATCCGATCCTCCAGAGTCATTGGAGGTCATGCGATGGTCTTCCCAAGGTGCTTCGCTCAGCTCACGGTTTCCAGCCAAGGCACGATTGGATGCATCATCAAACAGGGGCAGTCCTGGTGTGAAGCCGGACAGCTGTCCTGAGTCGTCCAGCGGCATAGATGCGTCCTGGGTGAGACAGGATGGATCTGCAAGCTTCCAAGCGTCCAGCGGCTCTAAATCCTGTGAGCAGGCCACAGGAAAGGAAGGTGGCGACCTCACATCAGCATTGCCTAGCGGTCCCAAATTGGTCTGATCCCGATCAGACATCTCCAGCATGAGATCTTCCTCATCCGAGTCCCCCATAAGGCATGAGTTGGCCCAGAAAAGAACTCCACGTGTTCGGAAAACCTCCGGGATGGAACTCACCTGAACTGGTGCCTGGTTGTCGTCACATAGCAGGAACCGTCCATTCTGGTCCCTGAGCAAGGCTTGAAAATGACCCCTCAAGGAACCGCCCAGGTGTGCGACTCTGTCAATCAAACGGTCGAGGAAGAAGACTTTAGGGCCGGTGGGTCCCGTGAAGGCCGTCAGTGCAACCAGGGTGACAGAAGTTCTGCAAGGGACGCCTTTTCTCGATCCAGCTCATAGAGGTGCACTAAGGCCACCGGTTGGGATTCACTCCCGGCTTCAAAACAAGTGATGCCATCCTTGGTCTCAAGGCGGCGTTCCCATGCTTGTGAGGTCTGTGCGGATTTGCCCCACAAAAGGATTTCACTTGTGAACTCACCAATTTCCCTCTGTTCTCCTGTCTGTGGGCTTCCCCAGAAAAAGGTCAGCGAGCTGCGGCAAGCTGAACAAAGCTGTTGGCTCATCTGTCTTCAGAGATGCAAGCATCCCCTGTACAGCATTCCATGCTGCACTTGAAGTGTACTCATCAAAATGGGCGGAGTGCACAAGGGTCCAGATCATGGAGATCAAGTGGAGCTTCAGCGCCTGTCCCCTCGTGGTCGAAGGATCTGCTGAAGGTCCTGAGCCAGCTGCGAACGTTGGGGTCCATGTTGATGGCGCATCCCCATGTTGGCGCATCCTGGCACCCACCAGATTCCACAGGGACGAGCCTGCTAACAGCTTGAGAAGGCTTGCTAAGGAGCCGTTCCTCAGGGAGATCTGGAGTCTCCATGGGATGACTTCCCCCCTGCTGTTTTGGGCCGCCATGGCGAAGAATCTGATGCAATTGCCCGGTTCCTGAAAAGCTTGCTGAAGAAGGCCGAGGTGGGACTCCATGGTGTTCCAGGCGATTGGAGCGGTCTGCATAATCTCCAGGCTTTGATGTCTGGAGCTCCAGGTCAGGTGTGGGAAGCTGTGATCCTCCATGACCGTCTTGCTTTGCATGGCAGCCTTCTTGGTGGAGTCGTCCTGCAACTGTGTCTTGAGCTTCTGAAAGCGAGTGACCAGTTCGGCAACGACGGCTTGAATGAGAAAGCTGCGTAGAGGCATCATCACTTGGTCTTGAGGAAGGTTGCGCCATTGTCCTGCGGATCTCATGAGAAGAGGAAGGACCCCCGCATTTCCCCTCTGGAAGAAGATGACGAACGAGTCCTGCATACACACCGAATTCATCTGGTCCTCGTGGCGAATGAGAAGCTGTCCCATGAGCCTGCACAGTTTGTTCAACTGTGGAGGATCTTCGTCCCTGGTCGAGGATGTCGAGCTGTTCGTCCTTGGGGATGATGCTAAGCTGGCTCTCCGTCGAGATGGCTGCAGAGGCGTGGTCTCCTTCCTTTTCCTCTTTTCCTGCGGGAGTTCCAGACCCAGGTCGTCCGGTGACGCGAGCATATTTAAGAATGCCCTGCCCACCTGTGTCACACGGTCGCCATCTTGGATTTGCATCATTTCGTCCATCATGAAGATCTGGTCGAAGCCAAGCAACAGCACAACCAAGGTTCAGGAGAGAGGAACACTGATGTTCCAATCTAGACCAAACACTCTCATCCAAGAGACTGTAGTTCTTGGCAGTGTTGCCACACCATGAACAAGGCAGGGTATCAGCCAATGCCGGTCGTTGAGCCAAGAGATATCGAAGCATGGCATGAAGGAGAAACCCACAGCTGCTGCTATAAGTCCGATGAGTTTGAGTCAGGTGGTCAAACAACTGATCTGACTTCTCAAAGGTCCGAGAGCACAGGATGCACGAGTGGCTGAGTACCTGGCAGTGTCGCATCTCTGAAGGTCCAGGAAGTTCGATCTGGATGCAGCAGCCATTGTCCCAGATGTGCATGGAGCAGGGTGTGAAGCTGAATCAATTGCTGAACCGAGGCCTCAGTGGGAGCCCATGGCAACATCAGTCTTCGATGATGAGGGTCACATAAGTGTTGGAGCATTGCCATCTGTCGATGGGCCGGACATCTGTGGGAACGTGGTTGTGGAACACGACAAGGATTGCAAACACATGGGGGGCGAGCTTCATCGATCATGTTGGAGGTGAGATCAGCCGCTCTGAAAAACCCTCCATGGTGACATTGCAAATGTCTGATCAGGTCAGCTGTTCTGGCATAAGCTTGTCCGCAGAACGAGCAAGTCATTGTGAGCTTGTGTCTCATAGACGAATCCTGCAGTGCTTCCGCCCATTTCCCGGCCTTGATCTGGTCCATGAAGATGTCATCCAGGCGGAGGACGGTGCCCGGCTCCTGATCACCCATTGGATCCAGGTGGTCACAGGATCCTCGATCAATGTGTCGTCGTAACTCCCATTGTTCCCCAAAGTGGCTGCGACAGTGTCGGCATACGGTGGTGCCATGGACAGTGTCCCTGATGCAACAAAACCTGGAGTGATCTTCCCGTAAGTGGTGTTCAAGAGCAGTGTCAGAAGAAAAGATCTCTGCGCAGTGAACACAGAGATGATCAGCCAGGTCCTGGTCATCCTCAATTGGATGTGCATGGGAAGCAGGAGCATCAGCCAGATGGCAAAGCCACTGATGGAGTACCGAGGCCTGCAGGAGGATCTTGCACTGATGAGAAGTCTTATAGTCATGTTGGCATACATTGCATGGGGACCTCCGAGTGGTAGCCCATTTGGAGTAATGATGTTGGCTTGCAAGGGCATAAGTGCAATGGTCCAGTTGAAGGTGATGCACCATGTCTGAAAACCTGGATTGATGTTTCCCACACAGGATACAATGGTTCATCATGTAGGTGCACACATCCGGAGTCTGTGCCAGTGCATCAAGACTATGCTCCTGGATCAGCGGCGCTGCTCGTTGTTGCAGCTGTCCCAGGTCCATGCCGACCTGAGCGGCGTCAAACATGGGGCAATTGCCGAATTCAACATGAGTGATTAGTCCATGACTGGAAGGTCTTGTCACAGTGTCGGCACTGAGGATGTCCAGCTCGTGCGTCTCGATCAAACCTAAACTGAAAACATCTAGAACGGCCACGTGAATCTGATGTTCATTCATGTTTGGTGAGAAGGATTGCACTGTTGAATGTCTCGAGGCATGTGCGGCACTGGAATGCAGGTCGAATGTCGTCCACTCCGCGGGCCTGTGACACAATCCAGTCATCCAATAAGGAAGTCAATCGATCAGTTTCCGTGTATCGAACGGTATGGAGAATGTCAGTGGCTTCAAGATTAGCAATTCGATCAGCCCCACCTCGAAGGGTCCGGATGCACAAGCGTCGGAGAAAAACTGCTGGTGGTTCAATGTCAAAAAGCTCATGAAACTCCCTGTGTGAACGATGCATGACATGTGAGTGATCTTGCATGAACATCCGTTGTTGAATGGTGAGTCGTGAAAGAAGTCTTCTGAGCCCAGCAGGACTGCATCCAATCACTTGTATGCCGTACAAAGTTGTAGTCCTTACCACCGAACACCACAAAGATTCACGCTGCTTGCAGGTGAGGCCCCTTTTCGAGCACAGCCAGGTTCGCAATCTTTGGAACGCCCGGAGCCCACACTGAAGACGGTGTTGCAAGGTAGAAGCCTGCAGTGTTTTGTAAGAGAGCTGAATTCCAAGATAGGGAACCGTGGTATGTAGGCCAACCATCGCAGCATCAGTGTGGTTCCGGGGAAAACAGATGTGCCAGCCGCTAGCGGTTTGCTTGAGGTGCTTGGCTTGTGCCTTCCTCAGTGCACTGCCTTGCATGGAGATCATCGAATAACATTTCTGTAAGTTGATCTGAAGCTGGAATTCAGTAAGAACATCCAACAGAATTTGCGAACAAATTCAGAAAAATCATCCAAGGACTGAAAGGCTTGGTGCACCAGAAAATCATCTGCATATACTGTGACA